CTTCAACTTCTGGCAAACAGACCCCATGAGGAAAATATATTAAACTTGAATTAAAATCTCTTTCATCTCTTAAGTATAATTTCTTCTTTTTCACCAGGGGTGTGGGAAGTGGTTGGGTTTGTAGCACACAGCCAAAGCAATGAACTGAACACAAGCGTTCTGCCACCTCAAGAGAAGGGAATTTAAACATGCATACTTCTTGGACAACTTCTTGACAAACTTTTTAATTATTTGTATTTTTGTATTTTTTAATCTTTCAGTACTAATACTGAAATATTACTACATACCCATGTGATTACACACTGAACTTTTTCATTTTTCGTTAAAAGGAAACTCAATAATTACACTGATGAATTTGCAGAGACTCTGGAGCTGCTGCAGACTGATATTGTGACAGGAAGTTTTAGATCTTACAGATCTCATGTCATTATTCACAAAAGGAAATAATGGATTTTCAGACTGACAGAGAGACGTACTTTGATATAAAATAAAAGTAAAATGAAAATTATTTTAATTCATGAGGATATATTTCAAAGAAAAACTAATCAAAATCTATAGTCCTGTAAAGAAACATATTTTAATGAAAGGGAAAGTAACGACTTGGTCAAATCTTAGACGGAAGCAATGCCAAAGTCATGCAGCTCAAATAAAGAATGAGTAGAGAGATCTGACATACGGGTGCTTTCTTTAGAGAAAGCCTCTGTTTGGAGTGCAAGTCATTCTAGCTAATGGATAAGTCATGTTCATTGACAATCACATTAGCCCTTTTTGCTATTTTAGTCAAATAAGGCTAATCATTTAGCATGCCTAATTTATATAGCTATGAGGATGGGTTATCAGTACAGATGTACTGAAGCATAAAAGACTTGGGAACACTGACCTATCTGTCAAATTTGATCAAGTCCAATGAAATTCAATTTGTTAATCTTGCTTCATAATCCTACCCTCATGCACTCTAAACACTAATACATTTTGCATTGCACTGAGATGCACAGTCTGCAGTGAGACTTTTTATTTGGATTAATCAGAATCATGTATGAGCTATGTTAACATTTGGAGTAAGGGACATGATTTTTAAAATTAGAAGGCTAAAAGTCAGACTGCAAATCTGTAAATATTTGCAACGTGTATTTGTATGTCCAGTTCTTACCTTAAAGGACAAGACCACAACCTAATATTTTAATAAGGACTACAGCTAATAAAAGAAATTGGGACTGTTTTCTCATTAAACAGAGTGAACGCTGGTTTTGAATGTGTATATATACACATCTCCTCAAGCTTCAAAAATTAACTAATGCAACTTACACATCTCTGGATTTCTCACTTCTCTAAAATAGTGATTAATGCTCATTTTGTGCCTATAGCCACAATGAGGCCAAGAGAGGAACATAGCTCTCCTAGTACCCATACAGGCCTCATTCCAAAGGAAACATCTTTTTATCAGCTACGTGAGTTTCCAACAGTCATAAAGTTTAGCCTCTATCTTTCAATCTAGTGCTAGCTAGAGATATCTACATAATCTGGATACAGCAAACTGAAATAGCACAAGCTCTGAACAGTTGATTTTTTGCTGTTTCCAGTCCACTGCAAGAGGGCTCTGAACAGTTGATTTTTTGCTGTTTCCAGACCACTGCAAGAGGGGCTACACTTGCACAGATGATTTGTCCAATATTTGAATAATATGGTATATATAAATCTGCAGTTAGAAGACTCTCAGTCCTGGTTTGTTTCATGACAGCCTCCTTTCGAAGGACTTTCCTATCTTACTTGCTTGTCTCTCCATACAGGACAAAAGAACATTCCTGTTTTCCATTCCCTGCCCAAATTGCATACAGAAGCTTCATGGATTGAATTAGAGAGAATCAAACTCAAATAATTACTATGTTCCTCAATTTGAGATGAACTGAGATAATAACTGTATCCGAGTATAGGCTCCAGCCTATATTTGGTCCTTCAGTCACACCAGAATTCAAGAAGCAGTTCGGGAACACACAGAACATTAGCTAGAGGAGAATGACCAGAACAGACTTGAGTCAACCCATCTTAAAAAGTATTATCTATTCCTAGTAATGGAAAACAATACAGAACAGACTTGAGTCAACCCATCTTAAAATGTATTATCTATTTCTAGTAATGGAAAACAATAAATAAATAAGGTAAAGAACCTTCCCACCCAAGCTTTTACTTTATATTATCACTAAAAATAAGTAAAGGAATAAAGCAATATGATTTTTTATTGGTGCAGGTAGATACGATTCTGAAATCATATGGGAAGTATTCAGTTAACACTGATGAGACTTGACAGATGCATTGTCTGGGAAATAACATGGTTCTTTTCCCTATTAGGTATCTTTACGTAAGTTGATTTACCATATTATACTGAATATCAGTGAACATAAGACTAAAAATGTAAGTAATGCAAAGTCATAAAGTGAACTCTATTGAGGAGATTGTCAATTTGCTTATGACCTATCCATGTACTATGGAAACAAACTCTACATACCACTAGCATGCCTGAATCTGTTGTAGAGCTTGGGCACCAACACCACTACAAAACAGCTGTGAACGGGGCATGCAATCTGCTGATTCACATTGAATATTTCTTACATCATTTGCTTTGTTTTTCCGTATCACTGTCTTCACCATCATGACAATTGAGGGGGGTAAAAGTGATGTTCTTTGGAAGCCTGGAACAATTTACTTCTATTTCTTACTTATCAAGCTTAAACCCTAAAAAGTTATGGGCATAAACAATCTTAAAAAAAAAAAAAAAAAAAGGAGTGGGGAAAATGAAAAGAATATTAAAAAAAATAATAAAAATCAAATTTGTCTTCTGACCTCAATTATTGTTCTAGCATGAAACTAGAAGAAATACGCGATTTTCTTAGGCAGTCACATATTGCCATTTAATTAGTTATGCCACATATTTCCATACCATCAAAAAAATACCCAACACTAACATTTACTTTCTTACCCAAAACTAGCCAACAACCATTTTTCAGAGCTTCCATTCATGGAAATGCTACTGAGTAACAATGTTATCCTCTCAGTGGAAAAAACCATACAGCTTCTAAGTCTGCAAAGCTTTTTTGAAGGGAATATGAAATGGCATCTTCAAGTAAAAATGATTTTTTTTCTAAACAAAACATAACACTGCTCAGATAAGCAAGGTGGTAGACCTATTTGTTGAATACATGGTCTTTTATTGCTCATAAGGGTAGACAACTGGACAATTTGAGATACATTTGAAGCACTCTCTATCAATAGAAGAGACTGAAGCAGATGAAATCCTATGGAACAACAAACCTAAAAATCCTCAATATCATGACAAGTTTTTTAACCCTTTCCTTCAAAAGAAAGCATACCACAAAACTCTGACAATTCCTGGAAGAGTTTAAATAGAACATGCCTATTTTTCTTTCGATTTTTTCTGAAGAATGGAATCATCACTGCATCCATGATATCACCAATGTATGCTGGGCTATGTATAAATCACAGAAGAGAGATACAAGTCAAAATTTCCAGATGCATGCAGGTTGTTTACAAGAACAGGTTCCATAGCATAATTAAAGGGCCATGGGCTTCTATGTTACTTTGGCTCTTTTGTAGTCAGGATCAAAACTCAAGGTTTGCAATGGCTAAGAAATTACATCAATTCCCTAGTTTATGAATTATGGTTTTGGACTTGGTTTTCTTGTTCTTTATTTATATATCTGAGGAAAGTGCAATGTTTACCTATTTACGTGTTTTATAAGACAAGAGGTGAAAAAAATAAAATCCCAATTAACTTCTGTAGGTTGAATAAAGTTTGAATAAGGTTTTCCATTCAGGAAAAGAAGGAATAAGGAAATACATTTCTAAATTTGCCTGTAACTTGTTCTGTTGGTGTGAAAAGTTATTTATGGAACTATATCTACCACATATTCACATTTACACTTCTGTATATCTTAGCATTCTATTAAAGTTTGTGCATTTAGAATAAAGTGAAGACTCACACATGGATGAGAATTTAAAAAATCTAGAGATTCTTTAAAGTAAAAATCCTGGATAATGACTTCCTGCCTAATAATGGCTAGTCTTATGGTAATATTTGAAGCTCCATATTAGTCTCTGGATAGAAAGCTTTATTATAAGAGCATGAGGAAAAGCAGGAAGAAGCACAACTGCAGCAACCTCTTCATCATTAGGGGAAAAAAATGAAAGCACAGCATGGGTGTCACTATTTAATTTTATAAAGCTTTAGTGAATGCTTTGCCATTGTGCACCAGTGAGATCATGGCCCTACCCAGATACTTCTTTTAGGAGCTCATGCTGCATTGTGTATGAGAACAAACCCCAGGGCTACTGAGTTCTAACCACAGAACTCAATCTCTTCTTGGGTGCTGTAATACTGAGAGAAAACCAAAAGACAGCAAATTCTGTCTTGCATCATAACCCTTTCTAGTGGACAGCTGTGTAAAAAGAATTTCGTAACTCCACTCCTGGATATAAATGTCAAAAAAAAGATATGCATTCTAACTCATTAGGCTGTGAAGATTATTAATAGCTGAGCTACTTCAAATATATACATCATAAATGAAGAAAACTTTGTAATTTTTTATTTATCTATTTATGTATATCTGTATATGTGTAAGCGTAAAATAAAGACACATACTATCTAGCTAACTGGAAGCCTTGGTGAAAACACTGAACTAAAAAAACTAACACATACAACACAGAATGTTAGCCCAGGAATTAGAATGTGTTTAAGTTACCATACAGCGTTAGATCAAAGTAAATTTCTCTTACTTCAATATTCACATGTTTGAGGTGGAATTGTGGGTTTTCTTCCTTTATTTTACTTTAAATTTTCTTCACATAACTGTTGAACCAGAGAAATCTGTGTATCATAGAGAACTTGACAAATTGAGAATAATAAATAAAAAATAAAAAACAAGCAAGAAAATTGCAGGAGGGTAAAAAACAAACATAGTTTTGTGTAAAATAAAGCATTGTTATACCTGCAATGATGTCATCCATCTGCTCCAAAGCTGCTTCCAGCATATGACTAGCGTCAGAAGCCATCGTCTGCGATTTCTTCAGACCTTTACTGAAAAGACAGATGAGATCATTTGAATCACACTAAACCAGACCTGACAGAAAATATATGTCACTGCTACATTATAAATTAAGCCACATAACCAGAACTCCACACTAGCAAAAATACAGCCTAGTAATATGAAAACTAACAAAACTGTTCCTATTCTTGATAGATAACTTGGGATTTCTGAGGTTTTCATCCACCACTGATTTTTTTTTTTTTTAAATAAATTTTACTAAAACAAGGAAAAGCAGGTGGAAACAAACCAAACAATCTCAGATACTGGAAGCTTGAGATCCCCCTACCTCTCATCCTTACCAGTAATTTCCTAGATTCAAAGTTCAGTGCATTGCAACCTTTTGCACTGTGGGGAAAAAGAGGATTGACTAGGTTTCAATGAAGGAATGAACACATGGTGAAAGGCATGCTCTGTAGGGGGCTCTGCTTTTTGATTGCTGCCATAAGAGTATGAACAGATACAAACCTGTTGCTGGCTAAACCTAAATAGTAACTATATCTCTACATTATAGCACCCCAAGTCCAGCAATTTTCAAATCATTTTTACTCCTCCTTCCCCTGTTCAATCTACGACTTTTTTCATGACACTGAAAATACGGTTCTTTCTGCACTGATAACCAAAACGCACCAGGTATTAAGTTCCTGTTTTCGTGCTTCCAAGTATGAAAGTTACTGCTGCTGCTTTAAAAAAGGATTAAAGACAGACATTCATGTTACCATCTGACATTAAGGACAAAATTTTCCAAAATTAGTTTCTACTTGTGAGTTGGTTTTGCTGGACTCTTAGTCAAGTAGCAGTCACTATTGTCAAGAGATGACATTTCAATGAGCAAAAGAATTTGCACTGTCCATTTCACTGCCAGTGAGAAAATTCTCTCTGAAACAAGGCCCTTTTGCACATCACTTCATTGCTGAAGTATGAAACTAGTGCCCACGCAGCGATGAGCAGGGATTGTACATGTGCATAATTTTTGCAGTGCTCTAATACACAACTGAAAATACTGACAAAGCCTTTAAAGGGTCATGGAATATGATTTCTCTTCCATGAAGGATGCAATTCAGTCTTTTGACATTCAACCTCCTGATACAGAAAGTTTTTAAATCTGTGAGTCAGAACTGCTTGATTTTGAGAGCTTTCTAAACACCACAAAAGACACCTGTCTGACAATAGCTAGAGATATCCTTCAAATGATGCAGTTTGTAGGTATGTGTATAGGCAATGGCCGTATCTTTGTCAGGCTGATTATTCCAATGTCACTGAAATTTCACTAATCTTTATTTATCATGTGATTATCTGCGCTAAGAATTCAATTACTTTGAATTTAAATAAATATTGCAATAATCTCTAATGGCAATTCACATAGATGAAAATATTTTTGTACAATGTTCATCCAGTGCCATTTCAGACACTAGCCACCATGACCAATGACGTGACTGGCAGCTAAACCACCCACAACCCACATTTACTCTCTCAGTTGGAGCCTGCCTAAAGACTAGAATGTAGAATCAGCAGCCAGAGGATAGAGTCAGCTTTAAAAAAAAACAACTTATCCAATTTTGTTTCAGAGAATCTGTCAGAAAATAAATAATAAAACCCTAAAAGTACACTTAATGCTGAGTCCTTGAGCGTCGTAAGAAACGCTCAATCTGAGTGTCATGGAAAATTCTTACTAACGAGTCAAAATTATTTGCTTTTCTTACAAACTAAGAATCCCAAGACACAAGTTTTTATCCATGGTGCTGCTGAAATATACACAAAGCAAGCTAACTTATTAATAACCTTTGTGTTATCAGTAAGGTGTGTGTCCTATGTCCACTCCAGTCAATCTATGCAACACCACTATCTAGAGAGGTAGATGCAGGAGTAAGAGTCAGAAACTACTAAGTTCTAATTTGAGCTCTGCCATTTATTTAGCTTATTTAACTTCAGATCAAATTGATCTGAAAAGCGATACAAGAATGCCTTCTCAGAAAACAGAAGAAAAATCTTTAGTGTCACTCAAAGCAAAGATTAATGTAAATCAATGATTGGTTTTGGTATTATTATTTGGCATTGTTTTTAAATAATAATTTAAGCATGAACAATGCTAAATGTAACTGAATTTCACAAAAATGCATTTGACCCAAGTATTTTCTTTAATGATATTGGAAATAACACAAAATATGCTTAGAATAATCAGGAAAGTCATTAAGACATCTGATACAGACTTAAAATTTCACAATGCTTACACACGTGAACTTCACAGACACTCCCTCTGATTCTGTTGGTTCAGTTTGTTGGTTTTGGTATATTTCCATCTTCAGGTGTCACATTTACTCACCAGTAGCTTAGCAGATTCACTAAATACTTTAGAGATACCATATTTTCAACTTCAATATGCCTCCTTCCTTGCAGTATTTCCCCTAGTTCAAAGCAGTCATAACATCGGTAATAATCACCTCAGTGAGAGGAAATCCACCCACAGCAAGCAGCTGCCAGAGAGGCACCTAGGCTACCTTGCTCTTCTGGTGGATGTGGCCACCAGCCACTCCCCCAGAAATCTATGGCCACCAGCTGTGTTGGTAAACTAGGACAGTAGACTGTCTCAAAATTAGGAGGGACTAATTAAAGCAACTAGAGCAATACACAGATGGTATTAACAAGAAATGTAGGACTACCATTTCTCCTAAACACCAAATATAGTATTTGACTATCTGTAGTGAAACAGGTACAGAAAATGCTGATATATTACATTACAAACTTGAAATTTTGTTTATAGAAAAATTTTCAATCAAGACCTTGGCACAAACCAGAAAGTTTTGCTGAAAAATGCCACCAGAACTAAGTTCTTCTATCGCCTCCCAACCTCCACTCTCTGCCTGCTTTGTCCCCAGTATCCACAGTGTACTTGCTGCTTAACTGCATTAAGCGAGTAAAACCTGCTGATCAAACAACTATTCATTAATGAAAGCAATGTTCTTTGCTCCAGAGGGATAATGTAATATTACTTGCTTGACATCTTTTTCTAGACAGACCTGTTGCTTGTGCTTCGGGCGAGTGTTACTTTCCCAGACACTCCCTTCTTACAGTTTGAATGTTCTGAGCAATATTATGAAAATAGCTTGTTAGATCTCATACGCTTTCAGTTACCATTTCTGATCTACTTCTACAGAAATATCTGCAATTGTGGATTCTTTTTAAATTATTATTTAATAACAAGACACCTGTATCAATCCCAAGGCATGCTGAGTGCCCCAAACAGGATCCACCTATTTGCTAGTATTTTAATTGCAATTCTTTCTACAGTTTTCATTCCTGAATGACATCAACAGCTGCAGAACACCATGACTTATCTACCTATACTAAAATATACATGTATTTTGAAAGTTAAGTTTTTCAGTTTTGGTAAGGACTGAACAAAAACTATCTCTAACATTACAGTACAACCTTTAATATTAGCAAATTCTAACCTTCAGGATTTATTAGACTAATTTATATACCAGCAAAATAAAAGAACCAATCTACTCACCTTTTCAGGTCCCTAAGAAGAAAAGAATTTACTTTTTTGCCTGAGCAGTAAAAATTGCTTGCTATTAATAGCCAAAGTTTTACTGTTAAGCAGACCTAAGTCTAAATTATTATCAACCCTTCTAAGCCACACGCTCGTACTAATTTAGAGCCCAGCCCACATATAAAGATATTGCAACCCTGTTTGTTATAATTACCTGAGTAATAAGATCTTCCAGGAAGTGCAGACAGAGAAACTGGTCTGAATGCCTAAATTTATTTTGCTCAGCTAGCTCTACCCTTTAAACCCCAATCTGAGATTTGCATTTCAAATAAAATTAAAATCTCCGGTAGAACAATTGTGCTTAGAGCCAATATACCTTGCAAATTTCTTAACCTACTTTCTGTATGTAAAACTATAACTTACTGTGTCCAGAAACAGCATAATATTTAACAGACATATTCACTATGAGCAAGATGTTCTTTAGAATTATTAAAAGACTTAATTAAATTTGGATCCTTCATGGCCGTCTCAAACCAGCAGTTGTCCAGAGATAAGAATGTGAACATTTAGACAACTCACAAGTCAGATGTTTTTCCAAGGTTGCTCCTCATAATAAGGTTGCCAACTTTATCAGTTATGGAGAGGGGTGTGGTTTTTGACAAGAACTCTTGAAATCTAGATCTTGCCTTATTATCAATGCTTTGGGTGGCCTAAAAATTCCTTTTACATTTGGAAGACACAGCTAATAACTAACTACGACCAGCTTTTTTTTAATGAATAAATACATGTTAGTAAACTGCTTAAAGATTCAAATTTAAGTACAAAGCAATGTGATACTTGATGGTATAATGAAATTTCAAGTAGCTTGAGTAAACCTCAGAAGTCCTCCACGCTTTTTTCAGCTGCAAGATGACTCCTGAACTGGAATGAACAAATGTGCCCAATTTGCACCCCTGCCATTTCCCACCTTGCTTCTCCCCTGCCAATGCTGTATCATATCCAGTGACCCCTCAGCAACACAATTGCCGATTCATCTCTTCAACCTGGCTCAGCAGTTCTCATGACACCATCAAATAGAAAAGTTAAAAATACATGTTTGGATCCTGGCCTTCTAGAACTTTGCATACCTCTCTAATTAAGTTAATCCTTAGTTCTAAATAACCATCCACAGCTGGTGGGAACAGAAGAATTTCTGATGATCACTGGAATGAATAAGGAACACTATTTATACAGCATCCTCCAGGACTAACCAGCCAGAAATCCTATTAATCTGATTGTAACTTAAATTTAATTTATTTGTTAATATAGATACTACTTGCTCTATTTCCCCTCCATGGGCTTCACTGGAAAAGGCAGAAAGGTAAATAGAACCCCTTCCTGCATTTATTACCCTTTATGTAGTAAATAAAAACAAGACTATAGAGGGTTTTTTTAAGAATAACAACAATGGGAATAAAAAAAATAATATTTGTTTTCAGCTAGAAAATATAAAGAATACAC